GCCAGGACGCCCGGTCCCCCTCTTGTCCCAACCCCCATGCCCCGTTCACTTGGGGCTGGGACAGGGGCCCCGGGACTACTACAGTACGGCTCAGAGAGGTGAGTCTAACCTTGGTCTTGGGCACCCTGGCACTCTATTCCAGGCCCTCCAACTTCGGGATATGTTGGGCCTACTCCTTGACCTTCTCTGCCCTCTCCCCCCAGGCTCTTTAGAAGTGCTGGAAACAGTAACAGACATCATTCCCAAAGCATCTACATGCCGTTAGGAGTTCAGGAAGGCCTTGCCCAAGGTCATCCATCTAGTTAGTCCGTTCCCCTTCCCACTGCACCATCTAGCCTCCTACAGCAGCCCCCATGCCCAGGGATAATGGGACTGCCAAGGGATCACTCAGCCCATTTCCTACCTCTTCACACTTTCACCTTCATGGCTGGAGCCCTACGGTGTGTTACAATTATTCAGGGCTGCCTAGGACACTGTAAGGACTATTGCTCCCAATACAACGGAGTCCTCCAGCCTGTCCCCAGACACCGCGTAGGCAGGGGTACTCCTTCATAAAGGCCCTGTGGGCTCTGGACAAGGGTCCACTCGTGCCACTCCAGGGCGGTCCTGGGAGACTCGAGCACAGAGCCGCCTCACCCCTGCTTTCCCCGGCTTCGGGGCTGACCCGACCTTAGAGGACTAGCAGACGGAAGAGCTGGGACATGCTTCCCCCTGTCTTTCACGCGGATTCTTCCTGCAGAAATGATGTGCATCCTGCCCATGTGCTGCCTCTCTGTTGCCTCGTTGGCTGCCAGCAACGTGACGTTTTCAGCTATTTACCACAAAAGGTTTCTGCTTATGTTATACTCATCTGCTCAGCACTTTGTGCTTTGGGGCAGTTGAGATGCCAGAGATAAATGAAAAGTGGTGGGTGTTATAAGGTCCCCCGAGGATTCAAAGAGAGAGTGAGAGAGGGAGGGAGGGGGGAGGGAGGGAGAAGAGAAATGCAAAGGTGCAGAAATGGACACCACTCAGCACCAGCAACTGCGGGGAATGGCTGACCACCACATGAAAGACTTAGCCAACAATTACAGTCTCAACACCAAGTTCATTAAAGCCAGCCTTGGAATTCCCCGAACCGTTCCGTGCGGCACTGTTCCCCATTACAGATGGGAGCTGCGAGGAGGGGGCTGAGAGGGTGTCTCCCCCAAGGCCACGTGGTCAGCAAGTGGCACAGCACGGATATACCCAGGCTGCACACCCATGCCCGCCTCCGAGACGCCGCACCACACTTGCTCCCTGGGGCAAGCGGGCTCTCTGGAAGAGCCTCCCCCTGACAGGACAGCATCCTCTCCACCCACCATGCTGGCCTGGCCTGAAGGTACAAGAGCCCCTAGGAATCCCTGGGCAAGGCTGTGCCCCTGGCCAGAACCAAAGAGGAAACAGGTCTCATTACAGTCTGTTTGAAACTCATGCAGCACAACTTTTTCAAAGTACGTATTTTATTTATATAGAATAGTGCAAAAGTTAAATGAAAATAATGGTTCGTAATCTAATTTACACAGCATCAGGTGCTGGCTGGTTGTCCTGACTGTGGTGGGAGGTGTGGCTGGCCTTGGGAAGAGAAACGATGAACATTTCCATGATTTGGACACAATGTGAATTAGCCTAGGCGATAAGTTTTCTCAACAGCGTAATCCCAGAGCACAGGCAGCTTCTCTCGTCCTTATAGGCACAGCTGTACATGCAGGAAGTTTCCGAGCTCTGGCTGTGTTTTGAGCTTCTGGCCCAAGTCCTACAACCCCAAGGTTTTCCACGGCAACAAAACAAGCATCAGCTTGCCTCTGATACCTTCTTCAACCCCAAATCTTACTGTTACTCCCATTTTTTCCCTACCTCCCAAGGGTCCCTGGGAAATACTGGACCAAGTGGAGAGGGCTGAGGCTGCTATTCTTTCTTTGGGAGAAATAATTAAAGCATCTCAGCCATTACTCCATCATTGTCCCGCTTTCTAGCCCCAATTTAATACAAACACTCCTTATCCCCTAGAACCGTTCTATGTGAGGTTAGCAGTTTCTTCCATCCCTTAGGCAATTCACAATCTCGGGCACATGAGATTTAAAGGCACAGCCCTCCCATTTCATTAATACGTCATCAGCCTGTGGTGACCATGACATCACCTGGGGTGAGAAACTCTTAGGGCCCATCTCATCTTTCTTCTTGATTCTGAGAGTATCCCTGACTTATTTAAACCAGAAGAGAAGGGGAACTTTCCCCCCATTCACCTGTCAGACTGGACCCCGTTTTGTCCCTCAGCACCTGACCATCAGAGCTCTTCCCTGAGGAACGGGGCCAATGCCAGTGGTCGGGGAGAGGGGAGAGCCAGAGCGCTTCCACAGAGAAGCCTTGGATCACCAGGGGAACCCAGGATTCACAGCACAGTCCTTGGTACTCGCTGGGCTCCATGTTTTCTAAACACAAAGCTTCTGAGACAGAAGAGACAGGCTTTAAACATGAGCTTTGCCTTTGCCTCTGCCCCTCTGCTGCCCCTGTGGCCAGGTGCTGTCATGTCCTTGGGACAGTCCCATGTTCCTCTGGCAACCCCTGCTCTTGAATCTCCTACCTGTTGCCTCACTTACCTGGAATGGCAAATCCTGTTCCCTAAGCGATCCCCATTACTCCCACAGATTTAGAATCCAGCTTGGAATCTGACTGCCTGTCTCTCCTCACCAGCTGCTTCATGAGCTCTGGGAGCAGAGAAAGTCTGGGGTCCCAATGGACATATTCGGGCAGGGGTTCCAAGGAGCCCACATCCTCCACACCACCACAAATGCCCCCAGGGTTCAGCCTGGAGGCCACCAGGATGCACCCATGGCAATGAGGCAGAGACACCTCTGCTGGCTGTGAGAAAGCAAGTGAGGGGGACCGAGGAGAGCACGATGACAATGTCCTCTGTGGCAGACATTCAGCAGTGGGAGGAAAGAACAAAATGGCCAAGCAGAGCTAGGAAAAGTCTTCCTACAATAAAGTCCACACTTGGGCATATCTAGGGAGTGACACTATAAAATCGCCGCCAAGGCAGCCCCTTGCGGAGGTCCACTCAGAGCGAAGGCTCCGTTCAGGACGCACCTTTCCTCATTCCTGAATGGAGGCAGCACAGCGTCCGTGCCTCCTGCCGGGTGTGCCACGGGGTAGGTGAGTGCGCATCCGCGACAGCGCCCACCTCTCTGTGTGTGCCCCGCACAGCGGCGATTCTGAAGGAAACGCGTGCCCTGCCACCATCGGGGGCTCTGTCGGAAACCCGAGCAAGGAGTTCTCAGTACTTGAAAGGATCTGAAACTTGGTTTAAAAACTTACAGCTTTCTTTCATCACAAGACTTCTGAAAAAGAAAAATCACTTTCCCCCACAGGCCCTCAGCAATTCAGTTCTTATTTGTTTTTTGGCGAGCAGAAATTCTGATGACACCGCAACCCCCAACCACTGCAGCCGACCAGCATCCTTGTCCGCTAGGCTGAACCACTCCGGTCCCTTTCAGAGGGCTTCAGCTGGTGCCAACGGGAGATTCGGTGCCATTCTGCCACTTGCAGATCAAGAGCTCTCCTGCTCTGACAGCTCCCGGGACCGCACCACCTGAAGAAGAGCCAGCCGTGGCAGGAGTAGGGAGGGCTTTGTGTGGAGGCCACGTCTTCAAGGTTTGAGCACCATCTTCTGGTCAGGTTTCGGCTTCTGAGCACTTGCCTTTGAAAACTTCATTTACTCCAGAATGGGAAGATCCCTGAGCCGACAAGCTCAAGTGACTTGCAGATCATAATGAGGACACGACTGGAGGCGGTGTCACCCAAGTTAGCTGCTTGGGTGCGCAGGCCTGCACTGGAACTCGCTGCTGGCGCATAGCCAGATAGCCACGGCGGCCACGCCAGGCAGTGGCGGGGCCCTGCCTTCTGTCCTATGGGCAGCAGTGTGCGGAGGCAGTGAAGTCCCGACCGTGTCCCAAATTGACCCCTTGCCCCTGCTTGTACCTGGTGACATGAAATGCACTTGGAAAGAAGGCGTGGGCTTGTCCTCTGCCAGCCCGTAGCTGGAGGGTGAGTGATGAAGTCGCGCACTGCCAGGGGTGACGCTGCACCAGGTGGCCGGCAGGCCTGCCCGGTGTGTAAACACTGCACTAGCAGACTTCGACCTTCTGGCATCGAGGAAAGGAAGATAAATGCTAGTCATTCCCTCCAAACGGCAGGAACCTACATCCATCTAATTGCACTTCATAACGGATTCCACAAACCATTAATTACCAGATTTTAGGAACTGAAGATAAAAAAGCTTTGTGAAATTCAGACACCAAAGGATCACTAGCCTGCAGTAACAGGCGCTGCCTGGAGGAACTGGACAGCAGGCTGCTCACAAGACAGGGAGACCGTGGCGGGGGGGAGGAGCCGGGGTGCCCCGGCAACCGGCGCTGGTTCGTGAGCCCTCCACAGGCCCTGGAGCGAGGGGAAGACAGTCTCGGCTCTGAGGAGAACACAGAAGGCTGCGGGGACAGCCCTCGGGTACAGAACACTGCGGAGAAGATCCTGGAAGGGCAGGGATTGTCTGCAGCTGGATGGCCCCACACAGAGCGCATCCCGCAGAAACCCTGCAAGGCTTGGTTTGGGCAAGGGCTAACTGTACTGATGAGCTGGGACTCAGCCTGTGTGAACACGCTGCTCCCTGTCCTCCTGCCACCAGGAGAGGGCTGGGCCACCCAAGCGGATGGGAGGATGACAGAGTGAGGAAGGAGCCAAGTGTGCTCCAGCCGGGGGGTCTCTGGATGGTGTGTTGGTGCTTTTTTCTCATTTCTAAATGGCCAGGAGGCACAAGCACCACTGGAAGGCCCAGTCTGTGGGCTGCAGGCCCACCTCTACCCACCGTGCTGCACACTGAAGGCCGCCGGCCTGCAGCACCTCTCCAGTGCCCCGGTCACCAGCTCCCAGCCCACTGCTTATCAGAGGCCACGGCAGCAGGCCTGTGGGAAGTAGGCCCGTCTCCTGGGGAGGGCAGTGGTGTCCATGCCCAGGACCCCAACACTGTCGGTTCTGTGAGAACAAAGTGAGAGTGCTCTGGTTGGTGCAGGCTGAGATGCTCGCTACTCAGGACAGCCAGGGACGGAGGGCCAACGGCAAGCGGCGGAATGTTCGCTCTGCTGCAAATGCAGGACCCTCCATGGGATGATCAGCCACTCACTTGGCCTCGCCACAGATCAGGGTCACAGTACCATCTAGCAAATCCTCCACGGTCACCGCCACAAGCTCAGAGCTGGTCTGAGATGTCTGCGAATCTGGCAACGTCACAAACACCTGTGACCCAGCAAGCTGGGTCTCCTCCAAAGTGATCACCTGCTCTGTTGGGGCTGCCGGCTCTGGGGTTTGGATCACCTGAAAGGGAAAGACCGTGAGGCTGTCTAGGCAGTGTCCACAGGGAGCTCCCCAGAATTTACATGGTTTTTGTCTCATGCTGTAATGATGATATTTATGTTTTAACCTGAGGAGAGCAATTACATGCACCTAATGGGAAGAGGCAAGTCTAACACACCGGCGATGCAAAAGAGAAGGCAAGCAAACAATTTAAATAACTCTGTGTGCTAAATTGCTATAATTTAGCTCAGTACGCCATCTCAGGGTGCCTGGACTATATGATTACATACCAGTGAATACCGGCTCAGTTTCTTACACTGGGTTTTCCTGTCTTGAGGATCACACTGCAGAGTTAAGCGACATGTGAAAGGAAGGCTACTGAAAGTGGTTAGTTTCAGGCCTGACCACAGAAATGGAAGGATTTATCAGCAGCCTTGGCTGGCCAAAGGTGGTGTCTCTGGCCCTCAGGTGAAGAAGAGCCTTCCTTGGAGGCTATATCATTACAGAACTTAGGAGGAGGGACGAGTGGAGGAAATGTGACTTCTATCAACTCCCTCATTTGGCCTCCCCAGTGGGCAGCCCTTCTCCAAAGGCCACACAGACCCCTTCCAAATCTGTGTCACCTGCTCAAGATGGCTCAGGGAGAACCAGTCTATGGTGAAGCACACCCAGTTCCCGTCACAACCTCCAAGTTGATGCTTGTGACCTGTGGGGACTCAGGGCAGCTTGGTGCCCCCTGATATTTTCAAACCAGGGAGCCCACAGAGGGCACAGCCCCCCTGGCCCTTGAGAACTAGCCAGGAGTGGGGAGCAGAGCGCTAGGCCTGAGTGGCAGAAGGGGAAAGCCAAGTTCAGCCCCATGGTGCTGTGGGGGGTGAGAAGACGGATTATGATGTTTAATCAAAAATCATCTAGGATAGTAGTTTTCAAACTGGTTTTCTTTCTTTTTCTTTAGGAATGGAAGCCTTTTTTTTTCCTTTTTTCCTCAAAGGACATCTTACCAAGAATCCTTATATATAAAAAAAGACCAAAGCACAGCCATTCTGGGTGACACGGCAGCAGGAACTTCGCTGCAGCCTGCCCACTTGGCCTGCTCTCTGCTCTCACAGAGGCCCGTGAGAACATGGTTCATCAAGGACTCCTCTGTGGGGCTGGACAACGGGGTGGTCCAATCAGTTAACAGCACTGCTCCCGTCCATCCACAGACAACCCACAGAACTGTGTTTCTTTTCCTTTTCTGCCCAGCCTCTCTGGAGAAAACAGGAAGAGGCGAGCTTCTCCCCCAGGGAAAGGTGAGGAGCCCTGATGTACCCAGTGTCCTGTGCCCAGCCTAGAGGAGCTATCAAAGTGTTTCAGGGGCAGGGGGTCCCAACAGAGAGCTCACCCCCTTCTCCGAGATTTCCTGCTGCTCCTGTCACACTCTACGGTGTTTCGCAGAAGGTGGGGAAGTATGTGAATTAGGACAAACCAAAGGTGTTCTGCTTTTGGAAATTCTCATTCCAGGCTCCCTCTACCCAGGGGCCATTTGCAGGTGCTTGCCAGGAGACTAGAATGTTCTTTCTGTTCTGTTTGGTAAGAGGTCCACCAGAGAGACTCCTCTACAAGGCCCTCTTGGTCATGTTATTACTTAATGGGATCTTCTGGGAGCCCCCAAGAGAAAGGCTGGGTGGTGTGACAGAGCTGCCTCCACAGAAGCCTCAGGTACCCCGTGTTAGCACCCTCGTATCTGATGGCCCCAGAATCACCTGTACCACCTGTGAGGCTGCTGCTTGGGGTTCAGAGCCCATCACCTTTGGGTGTTCAGATTCCAAGTGACCATCCAGCTGGGCCTGGGAGGTGAAGAGCTCCCCACAGAGCTCACAGGGGAAGGTGCTCTCCGACTGCTTGAAGTGCTCCGTGGTGACGTGGTGCTGCAGGGCTCCCGGGAAGCGGAAGGTGGCTGTACAGTACAAGCACTTGAACGGCTGGGATCCTGGAAGAGGGGGGACAGGAAGGACGGCTGGACGGAATGCCTGAGACAAACAAGAGCAGGGACAGGGGAGAGGAAGGAGCAACCGGGGTCAAGGTGCAGAGGCAGATTCGGGTTCTGTGGGACCCGAAGCTTCTACAGTCTCGGGGATCCTTTTCAGGAAAGATAAGGCAACATTACAAATACAGGAACAGGTCCCATGCAAGAAGGGGCTCTGCAACCACAGCTTCGTCAGCATTGGCTTCAGACTGACTTGGCCTCGGCTGACGGCCATTCTTTCACTCAACTGTAGCTCAGGATGCTGACGACAGCACACTTCATCAAGTCCAAGAGGCACGCTTTCACATCTCTGACCTGGGTTCGATGGCCTCTTACGACCACTACGGGCTAGGCAGCAGTGGGATGTAAAATTAGCAGTGACCACACACACGGGTGGCGACGGCGGCAGCACCAAGACCTGTGGGGCGTGTCCATGGCTCTGAAGAACATCCCTGAGACGGGAGTGGTGCCCGTTTTTAACTCCCAGGAACCAAATGGTTTAGGAGGGATGAGTGAGGGGTGGATGTCTGGCTACATCCCCAGGGCAGCAAAAGTAGACCAGTTTCACGTCATGCTTGAGGGACCCAAACCCACGGCCTGCCCGTGCCCTGTCACCGCGCCACGTGTGATGACACGCACCTCGACAGTCGGAGGTGAAAGCTGCTCTGAGAAGCGGGATGCTCACCATGATTTATCTGGTGATTCTCCTTCTGATGTACCCATACAAGAGTGCGTACAATCTATGCCAAATTAGGTCCAAAACAGCACTTAGAATCACCTGCAAATTCTAAGTGACGATAAAGTATAGTTTAATTGGCAGCAGTTTTTCTTTCTTAACGGTTCATGAAAGACTAGCATTTTAGATTTGAGGAGACATGGCAGTAACAATAATCACAGGTCATGCTAGAGGGATGCTCACGGGTGCCAGGCCTTATGTGTTTTCTATGTACTAACGTATTCAATTTGCAGTTACCCTATAAGGAAGGAAGCACTATAATTGTCCCCGTTTTATAGATGAGGAGACTGAGGCACAAGTCAGTTCGGTTACTTGGCCTGGACTGCACAGCTGTGGATGGTGGAGACGAGATGCACCGGGGCAGTCCAGGCCAGGAACATCTCGCGAGGGGCACTGACCTGAATGCTGGCACTTGATGTGAACTTGTAGCAATGCTGGCGTGGGGAAGAGCTCCTTACACTGGTCACATTCGTGGAACTTCATATCTGTGGAGCACACAAGGAAAGAAGTGGTGGGAACCAACCAGAGGACAGCTCTCTCAGGCTGGGGAGGGCGGTGATGGCCAACACTTAGCAAGCGTCTACCAAGTGCCAGGAACCTCACAGCTATGAGCTAGCAGCGCGGTCTAGTGTAAAGAAAATGCCAGATCGGAGCCAGGCCGCCTGGATGGAAGTAGGGCTGCTACGAGAATGGAGTAAGAAAGCGCCCACCAATGCTTAGCAGATGCCTTGCGCATAGGAGATGCTTCATGACCGTGGTGATTATCCTCAGACTGACCGGCACGGTGAGTATTAACTTTCTGAAGAGAAGGAAACCGGCTCAGGAAACAGAGGTCACTTGCCAAGGTCACGCAGCTGCTCTGTGCGGGAGTCGGGATTTCCGCCCGAGCCTGTCTGCCACTACAGCCGCCACCCGTCCCAGGCCCCACAATGTACCAGTGTCCCTCAGGGCTGGTAGGAGCTTACAGTGCTCCAGACCCCCGGGTTTGAGAACCACTGCCACTCAAGCTACTGTTTCGTTACTGATGGGCCGGCGAGGCCTCCTTCAGGTGTGCCGGGACAGAACAAAGGCCACCGCCACACACACCACACTACAGCACTGGAAGCTGGGATTTGGGGTTGGAGCCCAGGACACTGTCATCGAGCCGCTCCCACTCATCAGCTCCCACTCGCGGTCTCTAGGCACCCAAACTTCACCTGCATGCTCTGCCTTGATGTGCTTCTTGTGTTCAATGGTGTTGGAAAAGGTTTTGTCACAGGAGCTGCACTGGAGTGACGAGAATTTGGAAGATCGATGGTTCTGAGCAGCAAACACATCAGGGTGGTGGGTCCGATTGTGGTACCACAAACCAGACAATTGCTGCAAGGAATATGGCAAACGTTAAGTCTTAGAAGGTTCCAGCAAGCTGGAGAGGTCCCAAGGCCCTCGTGAGACAAATGAGCTTACGGATCTAGAATCACACTGTTACCCGTCACACTGAGTGCTCACGTGAGGGGAAAGGCTGGTGTCTGGGGGAACCAGGCACCTGTGTATTTACTGAGAGGCCACTACAGGGCAGGGCACAGCCTGGTCCTTCAGAAACTCTCACCCCTCACAACAAGCCTATGAGCGAGGCATCAGAATCTTTCTAATGAGGTGGAAGCTGAGGCACACAGGGGTTAAATGACTTGCCCAAGGTCATATCATTAGTAAACAGCAGACCCAGGATTCAAACCCCGGCCTTCCAACTGGAGCGTCTGAGCTGTATCTCACTGCCTCCCAGAGGCCCCGGGAAGCAGCAGAGAAGCCCGCTGGAGCAGAAGCATGTGCTGTCCCTGCTCCTTCCCGGGTTCCAGAGCAGCCCGGGGACACTCTCCCTACAGTTCCAGGCTTTCCCAGAGACCAAGCCAAGGCCTTACGCAGCTCTGTGGTCATAGCACCACGCATGGAGTTAGCTCTCCATGTCTGTGGAGCTGAAATTAGCTGCTGGGCTTCTCTCCCTACATCCAAATCCTACAGACGTCACAAGAACCATTTTCTCTCTGTAGTTTTAGAGTTGAGTTTCTCATATGTGGTTTCTTTTTAGTTCCATATGGGGTTTCCCTTTAATTACATACCAAATTCTACGGTGAAAAAGCAGACCCCTTCCCTATGAGTTTAAAAACAGCAACAACAACCCAGTCATTGTGCTAAACAAGGTAACTCCAGGCAATGTTACACAGCCCACTGTCGCTCTCACATCCCTTGACACACGGGGTCAAGAGGCTCCACAGAGTGTGAGTGTCCAAGGGGAAAAGCAGCATTCGGCTCATGACAGGGCTGAAATCCAAGAGAAGAGGTGCAGGAATCCTCGGCTCCAATTAAAGCTCCCAACTGCATTACTCTGACCAGATCACCTTAGAGAATCTGAGTAGTTACAAGCTGCATCCTTCATGGTAGCAGCCACATCGTCCTCTCTGGGACCCCTAGCAGATGTAAGGGCGGGTAGGATGGGGACTGGGGTAGGGGCCAGGGGCGGGGGGGTAGGTGGTGCTCCCGGTGGAGCACGCGGTCACCTGGTAGGCCTTGTTGCAGATCCCACAGCTGAAGGGCTTCCCTCCGACGTGGGTCACCATGTGCCGCTCCAGCATGGAAGGGGCGCTGAAGATCTTGCCACACGTGGGGCAGGGGTGGTACTCCTTGGAGTGCACCTCGTGGATGTGCTTGCGGTGGTCCTGCAGAGTGGGGAAGCTCATCCTGCATTTCTTGCAGTCGTACGGATCTTCTATGTCTGGTTTCACGGACATCCGTGAGGAGAGAGGGAGGGGAAAAACACCACAGGCAGCCGTCAGGGAGACGCGGCTGCTGTGCACGGCTCCAGGTGTGAGACTGTTCAGAGGTCAGGCACGGCCACACGCTTCGAGGACCAGCCGCGAGTGTACGGCGATCACGTGACCACCCCCTACCTTCGTCTTGTCCCAGGACAGGGGATGCCTCTGAGGCTTCTGTACTAAACCCCCTCTGTGGCACCAAGTAGTTCATCACCATTCCTCACGTTACATCCTACAAGTTCAATTCCACTTAACTACTTGGCAGGGAGTACTGCCCTTGCTCTTCCCCTGCCTGCACTGGGCATTTCTGAGTGTTCTCATTTTCTGCAGGGATTTCCAACACACTCCCCAGAGCCTCACTATTTCCTTTGTTGTCAGTGTATGACTGACAGGAAGAATGCTTCCTTCCTCCTCACCTTAGATTCAACAATAAAAACATTTTCAATGTTTAATGAGTGCTGTATGACAGGCATGTTTTAAGTGCCTTACAAACATAAACTCACTCTATCTTTCCAATAACCCTATGAGTGGGATCTATTATCACCCTATTTTAGAGATTAGGAAAAGCAAGCCTTAGAGAGCACCCAGGGACACAAGTAGGAAATGGCTGAGGTGGGTGACAGTCCCAGCTCTCTCTCCCAAGGCCGTGCTCTGAGCCACCTGCTTAACTAGACATGCCAACTTTTCAGGGAGGCCTCAAAAATAAGAACTAGCACTGATGAAGGATACATTTGCCATCACTATGGCAAGAGACTTCAATTTATTTTTTCTGAGAGCAACAGAAAGCAGAACGTTTTAATAATACAATCCTTTGCCTACTAGCCAATCTTACGTGTGCACGGAGTCCAATTAATTCTGGAATTTGGACACACGGCAGCACTTGGTGTCATTAACCACTGTCCCTGTGGACATGAGCTCTTGAAATCTCAGTCCACACGGTCTCTGAAGGCACGGTGAAGCGATGACGCGGTCGTGTGACACAGGCAAGGAGCGGTCCAGGAGAGGGGCCTGGCCGCTGGCCTGCTGCCAATGACCCTTCCTAAGACACGGAAGTCTTTGGGCTCCTCTTCATCCTGACAGTTGGTAAGTCCCACCCTCTCCTGGCTCCCAGGTAGTGCTACCAGGAAAAGGAGACTAGAGCAGAATGTCCTTTAAAAAGTTCAAAACGACACTGAAATTGTGGCACTAGATCTAAGCCAGATCTCACTCATCTGGGAATCTACTGCAGCTGGATACGGGGACTTGTGAACTCTCTGGGGGAAAGGGGCAGCACTGTATATACCTCCTGCATTGCCCAGTGTCTAGCCCCATGTTGGGCACATAGGAGCCCTGACAGTGTCCTTTGCTGGCTGGCTGATAATATATTTGAATGTGTTGCCATAAAGCCCGTGTTTGTGAAGCACTGTTTTTGCTGACAGCTAGAAACTGGTGTGTGGGAAACAGGGGTGGGGAGGGAGGAAGGGGAGAAGGATACGCAGGGTGCGTGGGACACCAGAAAGACAGGCTTTGAAGGTGACAAATGGCACCTGAGAGGGTTGCTTTCGCCACCAATAATACTATCTGGCATTTATTGAGCATTTTCTGTGTGTCAGGCAGGGAGCTTCATGCTTTATATGGGATACCTTACTAGTTCTCACAGCAATCCAAGGTGGGTGGCATTATTACTGTTCCTCATTTACAGAAGGGGCAGACGGGGCTTGGAAAGGTAAAGAAATCTGTTTAAGGTCTCAAGGAAGTAAATGGTGGGGTCAAGGTCCAGTTCCAGGCCTGTGTGGTGTCAGAGCCCAAGCTCCTAACCCCCCTGCTGCACCGTGCTGCTCACTCCCGCTGTAACCAGTCTGCTGGGGGAGGCAGGACGTGGCCGCCAGACGCCACACTGGCCATTTCCCGAGGCCAGGATGAGGGCGCACAGAGTTCTCCTTGGCTTCCTGTGCATGTGTTGAACAGAAGTGTGTTTTGTCTGTATCAGTTCCAGTAGAAGGGGAGACAGGCGGGGGCAGACCCCACTCCCTGCGTGGCTCCAGGGGCACAGGGGACAGAATGCCGTGCAGTAGGCTTCCCGGGGTGGGAGGTGGGTGGCCTGAGCAGGGACCACTCATGGCGGGAGACATTACCTCAGACAGCGTCCGGTTGCTCCTATGGGGAAGGTAGGTAGGACTCCAAGATGAGTGGGGGAGGAAGGGGGCATGTAAAGAGCTGCTCAGTGGACCTAATGGGAATATTCTGTTGCTCTATGGCCTGTTACTGAGGCTCTCCTTCAAGCATAATTTGCCTTTGTCAGCCAAGCAGTGCCAGGTGGGCTAAAAAGTAGACAAGGAAACAGCCCGGACATTACACAATGACATGTTAAAACAGGATTTTTCTAGAAATAGGAACGAGGGGCTCAGTTTTGCAGGAGAATCGGGAGGGGAAGGCACCAAATGGGGCCTGGCTCTGGTGGAGTGACAACTTCTGTCATGATGGTTACACGCCTTCTCAGAGCCAGGCCTGGCGCTGAGTGCCTGACAGCCGCCATCTCAGTACGTACTGTGAAAGGTGTGCAGGTGGATGGACAGGCCGTTGGCTTGCCGGAAGCCCTTGCCACAGTCCCTGCAGACATACGGCTTGTCCCCGGTGTGGGTCCTCACGTGGCGGGACAGTTCAATGGACTGGGCGAACACAGCGTCACAGTACTGGCAGGCATACATTTTCCCTGGAAACACGCATGAGTTTCCTTATTAGAAACAGCGCCAAACAGGTATGGCCTCCCTAACACAAGATCACACTGTAAGGCACGCGTTGGGGAATATAATCTGGGAGACGGTGTTAAAACCACACGCTATTTGTAACACACTGGGTGAGAGGTCTGGGCCCTTCTATCGGATGGCATCTCACACACAGCTGATGGCACAGTATGGCCCCCCTCCCCAAGGAATAAGGACAGAGTTCTCATCACACAAGGCCACCCATCTGTTAACCAGGCCACCCCAAGTATGGAAGAGCTCATTCCACTCCCAGGAAGCAGAATATATATCCTCATGCCCAGAAACTCCCGGGTCTGGATCCCTCGCCACACGCGCTGTGCAGAATTGCGCCTGCACACAGAGGTGACAGACGGGACTCAGAGAAGGGAAGCCTCCCCCTGCTGACTTGCTATAAAGTTATTATAAATCATTTGGCTTCTCTATTCTCTCACACACATAATGAGAATACAATGGCGAGACTGCCAAAGACTGTTGGGAAATAGAGGTAAAGAGCAAGGCTGGAAAACTGGCAGACCAGCTATGCCCCCAGGCTCCCTTCTGGGCCAGCAGAGAAGTGGAGAAATCAGTGAGGTGAGGGTCCAGATCCCCCAAATCCTAGGGCCTACTTCAGCTAGAGCAATCAACGTCATTTACATTTTTCACATGTTGGGCTTTGAAATAAGATTTTGTTAGGAAAAAAAGGGTTTCTTTAATCAAGAGTTGAAATTATTGAGAAGCCCAGGACTCAGCCCTTGGCCTTCTTCTTTATCCTCCCTTTGTAGATGACCTTATCTCAGAGCTCAGATATACCATCTGTACCCTGATAGCGCCCACAGTTCTATCTCTGGCTCCCAGCTTCCCCTAGAACTGCGGACTTACACATCCAGCCTCTTACTACTGTCCTTCTCCGCCTGGAGGTGTCACTGGTCCCCCAGACAAGAGCTCCTGAGGCTCCGTCCCTGGCACCCCCGCGACCTGCCACCAGCCCCCATGCACTCCGGTTTCCTCCACTGCAGTGAATAGCAGGGCCATGTCCTCGGCCGCTCACGCCAGAAACCCCACAGCCACCCTTAACTCCTCCCCGCACAACCACACGCAGCCCACCACGGCTCCTGTCACTCCCGCTTCAACACCACACCCCCAAACTTGAACGTCTGACAACTGCCCCTAGCACACTCCGGCTGAGAGCCCCGTCACCTCCACATCGGACAAATGGCCCACCTGCCTCCCTGTGAACACGACTCTTGCCTTATTACAGCAGACTGTTGAGAGTGGCCAGAATTAACTCCAAAAAACCTAAGTCACATCCTACTGCTCTTCTGCTCCCAACTGTCCTACGGCTTCCTGCTGTAGAATAATGGCCCCCAGGGATGCCCATGTCCTAACCCCTCGAAACTTGGGAATACATCCCCTCACGCGGCAAAAGGGGCTTTGCAGATATGATTAAGTTAAGGATCCTGAGATGGGAAGACTATCCTGGATTATACCAGCGGGCCCAACATAATCACAGGGTCTTTGGAAGAGGGAGCAAGGAGGGACAGAGGAGGCGGCACGAGAGGGGACCCAGAGGTTGCAGGGGCGCGGCCATGAGCCGGGGAAGGCACACGACCTCCAGAAGCTGGGAAAACAGGGAACAAGTTCTCCCCCCGACCTTCCAGAAGAAACCCACTCGCCAAAACTCTGACTCTTCCTAAAACCCCTTTTAGCCTTTTAACCTCCGAAGGGGCGAGCTAATACATTTGCGTCGATTTCAGCCACTGTGTGTGGTAATCGTTACAGCAGCAACAGAGACCAGCACACACCTGCATAAAAACCCACGTCCTAAAAACAGAACAAAACAAAACAACAACAACAAAAAACAAAATCCTGACCCTGGTTTCTAAGGCCCTGTAGACCTGGCCCCTGGCGACCTCTCTGGCCTTCTCCCTTACCGCTCTTCCCTTGTCTACTCTGCTTGGGCTCCTTCTGGTTTCCTTGATGTCGAACAGGTCAGGCTCATTCCCACTTGGGGAGGGGGCTCTGCACTTGGGAGGCTCTTCTAGATCTTCTGTAGGTTCCAGCTCTCACGTCACTCGGTTTCCTACACAAGCCTCACGTCTCCGAGGCTGCCTCTGATGAGAGCGAACCCGGCCGCTCCCCTGCTGCTTCCCCTGCTTTATGCAATGACTACCGTCTGAACTTACGTTACACATCTGCTTATGGTCTCTCTTACCCACTGGAATGCAAACTCCACGGGACCACGGTGGATACTTACACTCTCCCCGGGGCCTGGAATAGTGCTGTAGAAATCCATTCACTCAGTAAATGTTTCCTGAGGGTCTACTCTTGCTAGGTACTATTCCAGTGATAACAGCAGTGAGCGGGGGAGACTAACAGCTCCACCCTCATGGAGCCTGCATTCTAACAGGAGGAGACTGACTAGAAACACAAGAAATTAATGAAGTAGATAATATATCCTACAACAAGCCCCACGGAGGTAAACGATGCAGGGGAGCTGGAGCTGGGGCTGAGATTTTACACGGGGTGGTCGGGAAAGGACTCGCGGGAAAGAGGTATGAATGAAGACCTGGGATGGAGGTGAGGAGGGATGACAAGAAAGCAGGTGTCCCGCAGGGCTGGAGCCTTGCAAGGAGGCTGCAGTGGGGAGAACGGGGTGAGGGCGGGGAGAGGAGTAACAGGGGAGGTCTTAGGGGACCTGGTCACGGGGAGCCTGGCAGGCTATCGTTAGATTACACCGAGCGAGGTGAGGAGCCTTTGCAAAAAGGTTTTGAGCAGAGGAGTGACAGGATATGGGTTAGCACTAAAAGGACCACTGGGGCCTGTGTCCCGAGAGCACCATCTAGGGAGAGGAGGAGAGGTGGCCCCTACCACAATCCACGTGAGATGATGGTGGGATTTTGTTTTTGTTTTTGTTTTTTTTAAGATTTTATTTATTTATTTGAGAGGGAGAGCATACAGAGGGAGAGGGAGAGGGAGAAGCAGGCTGCCTGCCGAGCAGGGAGCCCGATGTGGGGCTTGATCCGAGGACCCTGGGATCCTGACCTGAGCCGAAGGCAGACGCTTCACCAACTGAGCCCCCCAGGCGCCCGATGGTGGGGTTCTCCCTTACACATAAATGTACAAACAAGGCAGAGAGTCCTCTGGGAAGCCCTCACTGACCACGCACCTACCCGCCTCTGACAGGACAAGAAACCCCTCCTCCATCCTTCATCTGGCTGGGGTTATTCCCTATCCCACTGCCGACGGGTCTGCACTGCATCAGTCTCTACATCAGGGAACCCCTGGCCCATCAGCTCTGGGAGCACAAGTAGTTCCGGCTTCGTCACTTGGCCGCGGCCGCTGCCTGACCCACAGCAGGTGCTCAGCCAGGGGTTTTCTCATGCTTGAACTCCACCTCCAAGCCCAAGGAACTCCTGGCTTTCTGCCAATTCTGTAACTATAAGGTCACAATCCTACATTAGCTAGCCTCTCGTCACAAACTCTCACCATAAGCATTTTACATGCCTGTGTATCTATGTACTCCCGGTCATCACTCCAGACAGAGACTTTGCATTGTTTTTTTGTTTTTAATCTACTTGAGATATATGTCATGCCTAGTTCCAAATGGGTTTTTGGGCAGTTCACCCAGTTAAAGTTGGCAGGAAAAATGAAGAAACTCTTCACGCCTTACCTTCTGAGTGCTTCTTCTTGGTGTGGTAGGCCAGGGCAGAAGCCTGGGTGAAGGTCATGAGGCAGTGCTTGCACATGAACGGGCGGTCCCCCGTGTGAAGGCGAAGGTGGTTCTTCAGGGTAGAATTGGCTGCAAACTTGGCCCCACACTCTTCACAGGAGAAAGGCTTCTCGTCAAAGTGCTCTGTCAGTTTGTGGTACTGCATGCCTAGGAAAGCCATGCCAGGGACCAGAGGAACACCAGTCATCAACGTGAGGACTCCAGCATGAGGACACGTAACAGCACTGAGGCCAGACCCCAAGAGGAAGCACAGCATGAACCACAGGACAGTAGGCCATGCTCACTCGGACCTCACTCAGCCATGCTGCTCAGCTGCCTACCGCCCAGCACTCCAGAGGTCACCTTGGTCCCACTCCTGTTTGGGGCAGGCATCAAGTGTTCTGGGTTTATCTTTCCCCTCCCCTCTCTCTCTTAAATAGAACCCACCACCCAGAAACAGTGAAACAAAACTCACTTTTATGTTTCACTGGGTTTATCCAACATCTGGGACAAGGGTAAACAATTTTGACTACACACCCCAGGGTTTCTGTGACTCGTTTATTATCAAGAAACAAGTGATACATGGAAAGCTAAGAGTCAGGTGTTAAATAGCTGGTTATTATTATAAATAATAGTAGCTACAATTTACTAACTCTACTGCAGGCACTGTACGTAGGTGTTTAACCACATTATCTTAAATCTTTATAACAATTCAAAAACGTGGGTGGTGTCAGGGTGCCTATTTAACAGATGGGAAAATTAAAGCTCGGAGGGCTGATTCCACAGCTCATGCTTTTCTCAAAACATTACCCTGCCCCTGTAGGAGTCTGCTCTGTTTCCCAGGCCCATCCATAGGCCTTCCTGCACACAACTAGAGGCAAGGCCTAGAATCCACACTACAATATCCAGAATTCTCACCCTCTGAAATTACTTCGCCTTCTTTAAAGTACCTGAGGCATGGGCAAATTCTCTTCCACAGAGGTCACATGTCACCGGCAGCCGCTTCTTCTTCTTCTTCGGGACATCGGGCTCTCCTCCTGCACCATGGGCCTCCAGCTGATGTTTTTCCAGCTCCTTCTTAGAATCCTTGGTCTCGTTGCACTCCTTACACTGCACCTGTTTGCTCTTGGCCACCCGGCAGCGCTTCATGTGCACCTTCAGGCGGCAGTAGAAATGGAAGCTTTTGTCACAGGCCTTACAGACGAAGCTCTTCTTGGCAGAGTCGGGGGAGGCAGACGCGTCTTTCTCTTGTTGCTCTGGCAAGGAACTGGTCTCGCCTTGACCGCTCTGTTTCCCAGACTGGCAGCCTTCCTCTGCTGGCTCGGCTACCTTCTCATCTGCTCTGTCGTTGGCTTCACGGTGAAATTTAGCGTTCACCTTCCATCTTTCCCTCCCTCCACTTTCCTGAGTAAGGAAGCCTGCAGACAGAGAGAAACTGCATGGCTCTGGAAATTCTACGTTTCTACTTTGCTTCCTAACTTTTCTTAGAGAAGGCTGCAGACTACGTGGGGCCCTCTAAAACTCTGGAGTAATACCACTGTCACCTTTACTTTCCGATACATGACCATAGCATCAGTTTACATCTCTGCTTGTGACCTATCTAGGTACTGAGAACATACCGAAGTAATAAGGCGGCAACGGATGAACCCTTCTAAGAACTGCCGCCTTTTCTCTCCAATAGGGACACAACCCGCAGGCCTGACGGGACCCTCACCCCGCTCTGTTCCTTACCAGTGTATGCTAACTCATGCATGACAGGCTGCAGGCCTGGGAAAGATCTGTGGACGCTGCACAGGAGGTGACATATCTCAATGGCCGGGACAGATTTTTCCATGGCTCTGCTCAGCACTACTTTCAGGGAAGCTTCAGGGCTGGCTGTCTCAGAGGAAATGCTCAGAATCTAAATGAACACCATGAGACAAAGGTTGTGGTTAATACCAGCAGTTTTCTCCATGGTTTTTCAACTTAGGGGGAAAAAAAGCTAATTTCAGGAAGGCACTGCTCCATCTATAAGAAGTTTACATTTCTTGGATAAATGTAGTGGAGAACCCTCTTTTCCAGAGAACAGGGAAATTGGCAAAATTAAAAAAAAAAAAAAGAAAGAAAAGAAAAGGGAGGCCCATGTCAAGACAAACATGCAAATACAAAGAAGGTACCAGCAAGGAAGCACTGTGCATTTTCTACAAGAAGTAACTTTTCAGAAGCCAGGAGTCTCCACAAGAACTTTTCTAGATCTTAATACTAAAAGCTTGGAAAGCTGTAGGATTTGGTAGTTGGTGGCTCTGTCTTGAAGATCAAGATAATTTTTCGTAATATATAATTGTCTCAGTGTCTGGAAGTAATTCTGCATGATCAGTGGCTTCACATTTTTAGACCCTTAGATGTACCCTTTTAAACATTTTCTTTCATGAAAAAAAAAACTCAGCTTTTTAAAGAAGGTTCAAATAGGGGCTTTAAAGAGGCCAAGAATTTTATTTCAAAGCCATCCTCTTTCAGAATGTTAGAGCTATCAGCAGAAAGAGTCTGTACACTGAGAAAATAAAGCAAAACCATCCACAGATGGCCAAATGGAATTTTCATTTGGGAAGACATTTTATTTCTGCTCTTTTCAAGTCTATCTAAATAAACCTGATGTCCCTGGAGGCAGGCCTGAGATTCATTAGCAAGGCTCAAACTCATCAACTGCAGGAGCTCCGTTTCTGAAGCGGGAAGCATGCTAGAGAAAGTCTAGCAGATGCATCCTTCCTGTGAAGCCCCAAAGAAATATGTTCCACCTTCTTCCCATCTGAGAGTCAGACCAAGGTGGGGCTGTCACCTGTGTGGACAGTGCTAGAAACCTGCCCTTCTGCACACCTTCCACGCCTACCTGGATTAAAAAGCACGTACAGGTGAACCTAATTTTAGTCCCTTTATAATTCTTCCTCACTTGAGATGCCCATGATCCTGGGCTGGACATCCATGAATCCCCCTGCCGTCCCCACCTGGTTTTTCTGGGATGCTGGCCACACTGAGAAGCATTACAGAAAATGAGCTGGCACTATTTGCTACCGCATATGGGCAAAAGCTTTGTTCTATCTATGTTTATCTTGGCTCTTCCTAGACGCCGGAACAGAGTATGTAATACGACCAACTTTACTTTCCTTCCTCTGAAAGCAGTTGCTTCTGAGAACATGTTAGGGAACAGTATCAGGGTTCCCCTTGAGTTTACCTAGGTTTAGGCAAATGAAATACATCTAGGTTTGAGTCACATGAGCCTGGGTTCAAATCCTGACTTCAACTTCGACCAGCGGGAGCATCCTAGACATGTTAACGAACCCCTTGGAGCCTGAGTTCCCTCATCTGTAAAGTGCGGATGACACCACCCTGCCACACAGAGTTGGGAGAATTAAAAAACAAAGAAGTGTTGCCTCAGCACGGAGCTCGGCTCGCAACAGGCACCCCGCATAATCTGGTGCCCCCCCCCTCAGGAACGAGACCGTCCCAGGCATTAGCCTGGTAGAACTCTCTGGAACAATGGGTTTTCCCCCACCGCACCTCCTTCACAGCGTCTACCAGCTGTTCCTCCTCTGCAGTAAAGCACTTGAGTCCCACCCCCTGTTGGATGGCCTCTAAGATCAGTCTGCGATGCCTCAGGACGGCTTCCAAGGCTGCACTTTCTGGGCTGGCCACTGAAAGAAAGGGGGATTGAAAACTCATGAGTGAAACTATGAGCACCATTTTTCCTTCACCTTTCTCAACTCAAACTCTTCACAGGGAGGATACACTTCACCGATTTCCTTCCTGGGGCTGGGAGTGGGGAAAATGGCAAATTAATATAAGCTTAGACTATTTCCAGCATATTTTATTTTACGAGGTACACAAACTCCCATGTCCTTCAACAAAACTGCCAGTCCTTACTTCCAATGGTGGGGATGTGGAAGATGGCCATGAGAGCTGCTGCTCTCTTCTGGCAAGACTGACGCTATTCTCCACCGGGGACAAGGCTCTGACAGAGATCAGGTAGGCCTACCTGCCCGGAAGAAGGCATCGGCACCAGGTTCCCTTCGTATTTCCTCCATGAGCAGGTTCAGGGGGCAGGTCTTGGTCTCCTGAGCCACCAGCAACAATTGCCAAATGGCTGTTGCAGAGAGAGTCTGCTTTTCTAGAACTGCTGACATCAGAGAACTGAAACCACCCGAGCCAGAGTCACGTTTCAGGAGCTTCTCCATGACCTTCAAGATGTGGCACAAAAATACATGTAAGGGATCCTCTAGGCGCCAGCCCAGCTGCAGAGCTGCGAGTCTGAGTCCTGGGCTACAGGGGACGTATTTCTGGGGCTTTTGCAACATCACTTCTCAACCGGAGAGACTTTTAGAACTGCCAAGGCTCTTCACACTTCCTTTTGAATGCCTTTCTTATTACTGCAGAAATTACAACCTCTGACTTATCACTCTGCCCTAGAAATCAAATCACTTTGTTTTTCTCCTTCTCTACGGACCCCTTAGCATTTCTCATCACGGCTGTGTGTGTACATTTATGTAAAATATAAATATATTTTTCAAGTATGTATATATGTCATCTTTTTTCCTTCTCTCCTTTTACCCTCCCTCTCCCCCGCTTTTTCTCTTACCTCTCTTTCTCCACGGGCTAAACCCTTCACATGTGGGATCACTTTTAGTAATATCTGGTTGTCTGTGAAAATCTCCAAGAGGTTTTCATGATACCGCCTCAACAGCTCGGTCCCATAATCATCAGGGCTTGCTCGGACTGCAAGGATATTAGCAAAACAATAATGTTTGCTACAACAAAATGTCCTTACGGGCTTCTGCTACAGAGGATTAGGGAGGTTACAAATGACAGAGGAAGAGCATTATCACACAAGTGCTCTGTCTCCTCTGGAAGGCAAGTTCGGCTCCTGGCTTGGGGCCTCATATACGGGTGTTCAGATCTCAATCACTTGGTGCTTCGGGGTCACAAAACCACTAACACTTTCAAAGTCAGCGGTTTGCAAAGTCAGTGATTGCTCAACAGGGAGGTAATTAGAAGGTGTGCTTGTAAGAGATTCAGACATACAGATTCAAGGGGTGTTATTCCTCGAGCCTGAGGTTAAGGATCCATGTGGCAATCCAAAATACTAGCAGGCATGAGTCAAGACTCCGGTAGTGAAGCTGACCCATCGTTCTTCATGCCCTTTGAGCCAATCTGTTACTCTCTTTTAAAAGGTCATATTTAATTTCAAAGTCAGAAAAATAAACACTATCAGGAATTTCCTTTAGTTTTACAGATATTTAAAAATGTATTCTCCTCTTTGGCCCAGTTAACTTTGCTTCTGGGAATCATGCCTTAAGAAATGCTCTGGAAGCAAAAAGTCTGTGTACAAAGGTATTTGTCACTGTGTAACCTGTGATGAGGAGGGGGAAGAGAACACCTAATATTTACTAAGGACCTATGATTTGCTACATGCTGCACATATATTGTCTCACAGTAGCCACAAAAATGAATGTGATGGGTGCCATTCTCACCCCCATCTCAGAGAGGAAAAAGCGAGGTTCAGAAGGGTTAAGTCATTGGCTCAGGGTCACACAGCTACAAAATAATCAGGTAGTCTTGACAGCCCTAACTGTTACGCCACATGTACCCCTAAACAGGACAAGAGTAATGCATGATATGCATCCCTATAATGGAAAACTACACAGCCTTCAAAAATAGGGTTATAGAGCATTTTCTGCGATGTGGGGGAGAAAGTTTATATTATACTGTTAAACAGAGGAAATTATAAAATTATAAAATACAGTAGAATATCTCACCACTGTAAAAATAATGTGACAAATATGTCAATGTGCTGGTATTGACATAATCAAGTGGGAGGATCTGAGGTTGTTTTCTTCTATATTTTGTAAATTGTTCAAGTTTGTATTGGTATTAATTATTTTTATAAGCTAGAAGAAAGTCCTCTCTTTTTGCAACTACCCTTTTTCTGAAAACCACCTCGGTCTCAAGTGCTCTGGGACTGGGGAGAACTGGCTAGACTTGGCACATTTTTCTAAGGACTGGGACAGGGACTCCTATCCCCCCAGACTGAATGTACATGAGGGGTGGGTAATTCTGGGGACCGTCAGAACCAAAGAGCACTCACACGGGAGTGGGAAAATCAAGATCGGAGTCTTGGCTGCTTAGATTTATCAACACAGCTTGTCAAAATTATGAGCTCTGTGAGCCGGCTGGCTCCTTCGGCATTCCCAGATGCCAGATGCCAGCCCTGGGAAAGCCACACCTTCACAAACCCCGAACCACGGGAACATCACGGGGACGCTTGACAGACAAGAGGCGTTCTCAGATTTCAGATCTTAACTCCAGAACTACTGAGAATCACTGCTTTCTGTCGTACAAGGGCATCTCTCACCATTACCTCATCTCCCCAGCATGGAGCCCAAAGGGTGTTGAAGCTCTAATTTTCTGTGGGAGAGGTTCCAGTCCAGAGAGCCTACAATTAACGGATACCTGGGGTGCCTGACGAGGTGGCTAATCGCTGCAAATTCTCCAGCAGAAGGCCCAAGTGTGGGGACGTCGGTTTCACAGCCTGAAGGAGTTTTACCAAACTCTCTGCAGTCAGAGTCTTATCTTCAGACACTCTGTGGAGTAGCTTCTCCATTGTCTCCTTGGGTGTCCCGCCCTCGCAGCAATCCAGGATCACCTGCAGCGGCAAGCAATCGGGCAGACAGCGGTTACTGGCACTTCCAGATGCATCTGATGCGCCGCAGGGGAACCCAGCGAGACTCTCAGCAGGACCGGGCGCCTGTCCCTGGGTCCCCCTCCGCGGCCTCTGGCACTGCTGTTCCCAGAGTCTCCTCCTTGTGCTATGTTAGTAAAAAGCCCAAGTTTTCTCCAAACGAACAGCTCTGTGAAAATCCTTCCTCCTCAACCGCAGGTCTGTGTAGATGCTTTGTGGTTCCCCGCCACCCCTCCCCTCCAGTTTGCATTTTGTGAGATTCCTACCCGAAGCCCACATGGCAGCGCAGGCAGCCTACCTCTCCCCTGGTTCTTCAGACTGGGTTCATTCAGACACAGGGACTGAGAAACAGACTGGCAATTAATGAATACAGCTACAGCGGTTTTCAGCCTCCGTTCAATAACTACACGATCGTGGTAAGAGGTTGCAATTTCAGGGCAATCCTATTATTTTACTTCCTTTTACTTAATTTTCATAGCAATTTGAATGTCCAGATAATTTACACATTAGTCTGTGGTCTCCAAAATAGTAGATTTAAAGTGCATTTCTGGATAATTTTTCTTGTAGATTCTCGATCTCTCTTATCAGCTCCACACACACATGGCTCCAGTCATCATCCCCCACCTCCACCCCCTTTGTTCTTCCTTGGTGTGGAGTCAGGAGGGCACAGGGCTCCAGCAAGAGGCTGAACAATAAAACACACGGCTGTTACTTTATCGTTATTTTCCTATTACAAGAGAACTATTTCCTAATGGACTACAACTCACGATGTATAACTTGGCTCTTATAACACTGATAACATGGGGGATTATTTCAACATATGTAATCTACAGATTCCTTAAGTAACCAAATTTTGAGCTTTCCTTTGGGAAAATACCAGCTTTCAGGAGAAACAGTCAAGCAGATCAGTCACAGTAGCATGCTAGAGGATGCCATTATCAAATTAACTCCCATTTAAAAATAAATTTAGCTATAAAACCAAATTAGTTTTATGTATATGAAAGGAGTATCTATATTATATATATGAAAGGAATGCATACATTATATATTAAGCTGTCATATTCATCAGTACAGAACATAGTCATTCTCTTTGTTTAATGTCTAATATAACTAGATTCCTACTAAATGAATCATAATTTAAAATTAAAGCACCTGTATCTAAAAACCATGCTGATTTCGGTGCTATCTCTTAGTTCCTAAGCAATGACCTGATATATAATGAGGCAGCCAGATACTGTCCAGAGTGGGTAGGGCCTTTAAAAAGCCAGACAAGCCTAGTAGGCACCCCAGTCCTAAAATGTACAGCCGGTGTGACCTTCAGTGAGTTCTTTCATTCTTTGAACCTTATCTTCCTCATCTGCGAAAGAGAATAATACCAACTCTTGCACACTTGTTATTAGGAGTTTCTGAAGTGAAGCTGCTATTTGTAGAGCCTGACATAACGTCTAAGACATACGTGATCTTTAAATGACAGTTGGTATTGATACCCTTAGGCAGCTGTAGGCACAGTGGTTAAGAGAACGTGCCGTGTTTCCAAGTCTGAGCTCCAGTATGGATGCCCAGCAGCTGTGTCTTTGGGTGAGCTGCTTCACCTTCCTAAGTGTCTGTTTCCTCATCTTTAAAATGAGGGTAATATCCGTGACTTCATAAAGCTGATGTGAGGGTAGAATTTAGTAATGTTTAAAAGGTCCTCAGCACACCGCTCAGCACACGGTAAGCAGTAAGTTAACAACAACTGTTCTAATTACTGTTTTTGTATCTGTTTCCAATCCTGAAGTAAAGACATTTCTATTTACCATTTCTTATAGAACCCAGGGTATGTATACATAGGGGCCGTGGTGCCTTGATTAGCATCATTCTGCAACAGAAGAGAGTTCTAAAAGGCCCGAGTGCATGTTCCACATGATGCCCACACACTGTGGCCATTTGATCAACATTCACCTCTATGGTCCTGCTTTATTGTTTCGCTTCAATTTTCACGAGAAGAAGTAGCTTAATGAAGCTCTAGTAGGACCCCAATCCTAAGAGGTGTTTTTGTGATTTATAACTAATTTAAGTTCTTCTGCTTCAGTCCTTTCTGTCAAGTAAACTGAAAGTGACAGAGGAAAATGACAGAGTGGTCTGTCTTGGTGCAGAGAATGAGGCTGAGTCTGGGCTCTTCCTATAAATGCTGTTTTACCGAGATAATGAAACAGTTCAAAGGACACATTCAATCTAGCTAATAAGGAAAAGGTTTGAATGAGTAATCGAATGAAATCCCTAAATAGGGAATCAGGTACTTCTAGAGCTATAAGCAACTTACTTAAACTGAGTGCCTGAAATTACATTCAGTCTTAAGCCTAAGGAGAAACCAGAGGCTTAATCTTATTTTGTATATTATCTTTCTCTAAGAAATTCAAAGGAGTTATAATTTGGGGAACACATAATTTATGAAGTCTAATTTTGAGATTAAAGATTGTTCCCATTTTATATGAAAAAACTACAATTTATGACCACTGAGAAAAAGAGAATTGGGGGTCCAGTCTTTACTACTGATCCATTCTACCACTGCTTTCTAAACATTTTCTCTCCCAAACATGTAAGCCACTTCCCAGCTTTAAGAATTGATGCCACAGAAGTTCTCTGTCCCTATTCCTTCCTTCCAGATATAAAAATATTTTTAGCACAAAGTTGAAATCAGTAACACCAACAAACACAGTTATCTAGTTGACTTGAGAAGTCATGACAGCAGTTTCATGAGGATTTTAGTAGCTGCTGGTGGGAGAGTAAACTGGTACAACCTTTCTGAAGGGCAATTTGGCAATATATAGCAAACACTTGAAAAATTTTATACTCTCTATTCCAAAATTCCACTTCTTAGAAATTACTTGAAGGAAATAGTTTGAGAAGTATGCAAAGATTTGTGTGCAAGGATGTTCTCTACATCATTTATTATGGCAGAAAGTTGGAAACAAATGTGCAACAACAAACAACTAACGAATTATGGTATGTTCATTAAACAAAATACAATGCAGCTACCAAAGTCCATATTATAGTATGGAAATATATTCACAATACATTAAATAAAAAACCCAAAGTTATTCTGTATAAGCCTATCCCAGGATGACTCAAACGAGAAAAAGTGGGAGCACATGCTCTAAAATGTCAGCAGTGATCATCTCGGAGTGCTGAGATGGTGAGAGATTTTAATTTTTTTTCTTTTTGCTTGTTTCCCCAATTTTTCCTACAGGTGAACAGTGTATTGTTTCTGTAAAGAAGAAAAGTGTCAAAATTATAATTACAAATGTGCCTAAACATTTTCACTCCTGGGGCAAATGTTTTACATTAACAACTGATCGAGTCAGAGCAGGACTATCCCCACCCCATCCACGTATCTAAACATTTCATCATACGACACGACGTGCAAGCCCCTCAGCCAGCTGCTGCCAAGGGTACAAAGAGACACGGTTCAAGAATGTGAACTTCTAGGTGCTTACTATGCAGTAGGTACAAAAACACTGCAAGGGAAAAAGTGCTATGGGCCACAAAAGAGGTTAAAAAAAGTGCTACATAAACTCAGGAGGGAGGAAGGGATGCTCGACACCACAGTTACCCTTTTCTCAGTGCCAGTCAGGAATTCTTCCTTGGCTGTTTCCAGGAACTCCAGGATAGGTCTCAGCTGTGTGACACACTGGATCAGGTCCTCTTTGTGTTCTAGTAACAGAGCAGACAAGGTCTTTCCCTCCTCTGTGCTCCCTGGGGGAAGAGAGTGTGAGAGACGCACAGGAGAAGCTAGTCAATTTGAAGAAAATGACAGCATGGTTTGTCAAGAGAGATCTAACAGAATAGTAAAGTGATTCTCAGCCTATTTTGAGCACCCGAATGCAGAATCTCTTTCTGGAGAGGAAAATACTTTATTATTCTGTTTAAACTCTACGAAAGGAAAAATGTTTCATTTATCTGTCGAAACACAAAGCTGCAGAGCCAGGCAGAGGTTAACTTCCGGTTGGCAAGGCCACCGCTTTGTACCTAACCCAAACAAAAGAAACTTCAGCCATCAGTGCTGCCGGCAAACCAGTTCACCCTGGGCACTCAAAACATCGCCTGGGATGTGTGGCTTGTGAAGGGCAGGAGAACACTGATGATCTTCTCCAACTTCAAGGTGTCAGACTAGTTAACTAGGGGACAGGAACGGAGACTCAAATTTAGCTTGTATATATTTAACAGGCAGCTTCTGGAATTCTGTGTAAAACTGATGTGAAAATCACTTAACGATAACTAAGCCGGCGAGGAAATGTCATCACCAGAGCAAACTTGACAGCACCTTCCCAGAATAAAACTCAAGCCACCCAGGTGGACGGGGTCTTCTCCTACCTTTTGGCCGCACCGCGTCGACATCTTCCGGCTTTCTGTCTAACAGTGCTGCCTTTACTGCAGGATCGGAATCTTGGTACAGCTTCAAGAGCGACACGACAGTCTGAACATCCAGGCTCTCGTCTCTTACTTTATCCAGGATTCTCTGGAATGCCGAGTGTCCTTCTTCACCCTCAAGACATCCCATTATAGTCTGTGGACACAAGTAACCGGAAAGAGAGATCAGCCAGCCACGAGAACCCCACGCTCCTTGGATTTGGCGAGTGAGGCCCTCAACAATTTGATCCCTGCCTCTTTGGCCTTTCATGGTATTTGGCATTCCGATGGCTTCTGCGTCACAGCTCTTCTGACTTCAGAACACTGAAGCATTCAGGATGGATAAGCACCCACCTTTCTGATCCCTCCTACTCGGCCTTCCTCACTGATTCTCCTTCCAAATCCCTAACCATAAGCAGTACCGAAAATTGATCCCAACTCTATTTTTTCTCCTGTATGATCTCCCTTTGGAAAAGCTCTTACATATACAGCTTTCATAACACCTCTAGGCCGATAACCCTGAAAACTAGCTCCCTAATGCTAAGCTTTCTGTTTAAATCTAGAGCCACACAGTTTCTACTAGAAATGCCTTATCCTCCAGAGGTCTTGGCACCACATGCCACCATCTGGACTCTTCTAACCCTGGAGTACTAAAATATCAGCAACTCCAGTGGTGAAATAAACAAAATTAGTGGGAGGAAGGCCAACTGGAAGGAAGGGCTAATATTTCTATTTTAGCAATAATAAATTTATTTTTAAAAAATCTGGAACCAAAAGTTAATTTTATGTGCATAGCCTTTATATTTCTCCTTGGCAAAACTACAACCTACCTTTGATGTTTTTTAGTGTCAATACCATAAAAGAAGAGTTTCCTCACAAGAAAGCAAAAAGTTATGGTTTTCTGCACATACACCACACACACACACACACACACACAACATGAAAGGATCTCATGAATATCTATACTTGCAAAGTTCAGCTAGACAGTTATTATAAATTCTGGTAGTAATTATAGGTTTAAAATTTTTGTTTAGAGAGGTTTTTATCTTTCTCTCCTCCTCCCAAATAAACAGAAATTATGAACAAGTTAGACTGTGTTTCTTGGCTTTTGCTTAAGCTTGCTTCCTGATCACAGAATGAACATATAAAGCCAAGTTAAACTTAAAAAAAAAAAAAAAGGGCTCCTGTGATTTTTAGTCATATACAAAAGTAAATTCAGATAAAGCCCAGTTTTGGAATACACATTAACTAAATTAAGTAACTTCCATGAACCTGAGTAACTCATCTTGTCTCCATTTTGAAAATAATAAACAAATGAAATACCAACTCAGCTGAATGCTTACTCGCTTTCAGTCACATTTACTCAACCTTCCATGCTCTTTTTAGTCACCCTAAAATCTCTTTAAGGAATGCCTTTTCCCTGACAGCAGTAGGGACCTGTGGTAGGCAGCCTCGAGATGGTTCCTAACATCCCTGCCACCAGGTATTCATGCCCTTGGGCTGAACCTGATGTCGTGCTTCCAAGGAAAAGCATATGGCAAAAGTAATGGAGGGCACTTCTGAGGCTCAGTCACCATGACTTCCCTCTCGTCCATGTGGGCACTCTCTGCCTTCGCTCTGGAGGCAAGCTGCCATGTTGTGAGCTGCCCTACAGAGAGGCCCACGTGGCAGGGAATGGATGTCTCTGGCCAACAGTCAGTGAGTGAGCTTGGAAGTGAATCTTCAGAACCCTGCCAACAGTCACATGAGTGCACTTAGAAGGAGACACTCCCCATCCCCACCCCACCCCCGCCTGCTCCACTGAGCCCTGAGCTGTCTGCAGCCTTGTCTTGGAACTTGAGCCAGGGACTCAGCGAAGGATGCCTAGATACCTGACCCACAGAAATGGTGAGGTAATAAGTGTGTGTTCTTTTAAACTGCTAAATGTTAAAGAGTAATTTGTTATTCGGCAATAGATACCTAATACAGACCCTCTCAATGCCTATGCCCTCAGCAAACATGTTTTTCTCTCTTTATTTCTCCTTTCCTTCCTCCTTTTCTTCAATGCATCTTAACTGATACAGCATTTAGTCGTCTTCTCTCCTAGGCCAATGGGCTTTCACCTGAAGCTCTCTGAATCTCAGTATCCAATTTGTCTGGCATTATCATTTGAGCCAGTGGGGACGAGGCGCTCTCATCAATGGTGGCATCTGATGCACTTCTCATTATCCTCTCTGCTGTATCCTCCTCTGGAGAACTGCTCAGCAGTGAAATTAAAACATTTGTTAACTTCATTGCTCAGCAGTGACGCTAGGGTGTGACCATCTGGGAAGAGGAGCAGGGGTGAGACGATGAAAGGGCCAGAGGGAGCAGTCAGCTGCCTGGACAGCCCTGCTCTTTGCTCTTTCTTCCAGAACCTACTGGAGACCTGGCACCAGAGCCAGCGTTTTAACTGTTACTCCATCAGCTCCCTAAGCTGCCTGGGGCTCCTCCATGCAGTGAGCCCTTTTCTGAAGTAGCATATCTGCCTAAACAGAGGGCGTCCCATATTGTGGCAGACTGAGGTTCACCGACTGCTACCATGTAACAGAACTCTAAGACATGAGCCCAAAACAGAGTTTTGCTCTTGAAGCAAACATTTGGAATTCCTTTGATTCTTAGAGTTAAAGGTACTTCAATAAATTCATACCAAATTATGGTCACACATGTAATCAACATACTTTGATTTATGAATGAACTATAGGCCAATATATTTAAAGATGGGACAGTTTCCTTTCCTTTTAAAATTTAAGTTTTGCCTTACACTAAGGTCTTTTAATTGAATTTACTTATTTTCCCAACTGTCTGCCTACTGCCTTTGGATTTGTTTGAGTTATGCTGTGTTCTTACTCACCCATGTCTCTCCTGAATGCCAAGGGCCAGATGATGGCACTCATGACATAGACCACAAGAGCTCAACATCATCCCAGACACTGTGCGTATGTGCCATCTACTTAACTCCTCACATCAGTCCTCGGAGGCATTATTACCACAACTACTTAAATGAGAGAGAGGTGAAGTAACTTGCCTGAGGTTGCGTGGCCAGTAAGCAGAGTACCAGGGAAGAAACCCTGAGCTTATTCCAGTGACTCAGCACCCCCTTCACCAGTTCCCACCCCTAGATTTTGAGCGTAACCAAATCCATTTACACTGCATTCTCCTGGACTTACTAGAGTCAACATCACGTTGAACCCAATGGGTCATATCTAGACAATCTGTACCATTCCTCCTGGTCCCAGTGACTTGTATACAGACTGGTACACAGTAGATGCTTCATAAATATTTGTTTAACCGAATGAATACCTTGCCATATTCCCTTGCCATAAAACCAATAGCCTTTCTATCAATGGCTACATCATCTTAGACTTCATAATTAGAGAGAAGATATGGCAAAACAACAACTTACTTCCATTTCTCATTGACCTGTAAAATGAACCCTACACTCTCAGTGAACACAGTCCACAAAACACAGACATGCACTTCTTGACAAATCTCCAAAGTAGTGACATGGTTGAAAACATCAGATTCACATAGGAGAGGAGACTTATTTGCCTTTGAAACAAAGTTGAAAGAGAAAAAAAAGCTACTAGGCCTTAAGCTTTGGGAGTCGTTCTAGAACTTTAGGTGAAAAGTGGATCAAACAGCAAGGAAATCAATAGTAGAAGTTATCTCCTTATTCTAGTCAAAGATTCGCTTTGCTATATACACAATTAATTAAAAGCAGGAACATGGCTAGGAATAAAGAAAGAAGACAATTAAAAGTTCCTGCATAAAACGTAAAAAAAATTATGAGCTTGCCTTTAAACACAGGATTTGCTCAGCTCAGCCAGAAAGCCTGTTAGGTCAGTATCTGCTTTCTCTAATGGGTAGGGCTATTACACCGAGATAAAGATGGGCAGAAGCCACTTTCCCATCCCAGCACCCAAGAGATTTCTCCTTAACCAGTTCTGGCTTTGGTTTCACACAATCCAAGCAGCCCAGCCTCATCCCATGTTGCTGCAATCACTGTTCAGGGAATGGCTTTGCCACCTTTCATCATTTATCTCAGGAAATAAAACAAGCAGGACACTAATTAGTTCGTAGCATCCTCCTGAAACTTGGGGCAGTCCAGGCCAGGTGCACACCTTGTGTCTGTGTTTCAGAAAAGAAACAGGCTGGTCCATCTCAACCAGAACACTCACAGGCCTTCACAAGCCTCCAAATTTCACATCTAAGCACAGATCATTTTTTAACGTTAAGCTGTCTTTTTAATGTTATGCCGATTAACCAAATAACAACAACAAAAAGCATTCAAAGCTCCTTGGGAGCTAAAACTCTTTAAACAGAAAAACAACAAACCCCCAGCCTTTACAATTGGAGCTGAAATGCAGACTGATATTTTAAGTGAACAGTTTGCAAATGCTTTCAGTACTGAGGCCTTTTGGGGATTCCCATAGTTTGGTGACTCCAAAAAAATAATTACATATGTGGCAGGATTTCTCTGCTGTCAAGACACTCTATAGGGATAGGGATCCAGTTTTATTTATATGTATTTTCCTAGCAACCAGCTCAATGCCTGGCACACACCAGCTGCTCAGTAAATATTTGCTGAATCAAGGGGTAAGCAAAGAATAACACTTGGGAAAAATGTGTACTCGGTGGCCCCTCAAAACACTGAGGTGTCAGCACAGACACTGTGACATCTGCCATCATACACTAAGAATTGTGCAAGCCATTAACTTCTCTAGCAGTGCTTCTCAGAAATGTGGTCTACTGATACCAAAACAGGAACACGGGGAGCTTGTTAAAGATGTAGATCCCCAAGCTCTACCACAACCTAAGAATCAGACTCTCTGGAAATGAGATGTACATTTTAACAAGTGCACCGGATGATTTTTATATACACTGAACCACTGTTCTAGAGACTGATGGCTTTGTACCAGACACTACACCTGCAGTTCAGGAAGGTACTTCCAAATGGGTAATGGTCCCTATTTGAAAGCATGACTTACAAATTAAGCTTAAAGTAACAGCAATCCATCTCATGTGTCAGAGCAAATGACCATGGCACTAGGATATTATAAGGCATTAAGTAAAAAGGGGGTTTCAAGGCCAGCTAAGTCTAAAAATACAAAGTTAACGTATAAACAAACAATAGCAGTCAGCACCAATTGAGCTCCTTCTCTGGGCCTGGCATTTTAATGTGAGTTTTCCATCAATAATCTTTATTAATTTCACAATGATCATGTGATATAGGTGACAACATTCCCATTTTACAAATTAGGAAATTAAGGCTTACAGAGATTAAGTTGTTTGAGGTCACAACACTAGCAAACGGTAGAGCTGAATAACTAATTGTATATCCACACAATGGAACTCCGCTCAGGCATAAAAAGGAATAAATATCCAACAACATGGATAAACCTCAGAAGAATTATGCTGAATGCAAGAAGCCGGACCAAAAAGAATATAGACTGTTTGACTCCCTTTATATATAATACTCTAGAAAATGCAAATTCATCCACAGAGAGAGCGGCAGGTCAGTGTCACCTGGAGATGGGCAGGTCGAAAGGGGTAGGAGGAGGGATTACTAAGGGCATAAGGAAACTCAGGGGTGATGGATATGTTCAGTACCTTGCTTATGGCGATGGCGTCAGATTTTAAAGCTTATCAAACTGCACACTTTAAATACATACAGCTCACTGTAAGTAATCTACCTTAATAAACTGATCTAAAAGAAAGTTAAAAAGAGAAAGAGAAGCACAGGGCCTAAGTACAAAGCAGTACTTTACCAACTCTCTGTATTTTATTTAATGGAATCTTATGCTCTTCAAATATTTTTTTCTCTTTTTCTTTCTGCAGCTGAAAGGCTTATTATGGAATATAACAGAATCAGTTTTAAATACCACCACCAAGCGATTTGTAGAGCTCTTACTCGGACCTCTAAAACCGAGGAAGAAATAACATAAGCCTATAATGACCCCAACAGTGAATCAGTGTTCTTTCTAAGTAGTACTAATGTTATTGTCACCAAAAGATTAGGACAAGAATTGGGAGGGAAAAAAATGTTGGATGAAACCATGTACAGCAAAAATTTCTTAAGCACTTGTTATTTGCCAGACGCTTTTAGGTATCAGCATTAGAAAAAAAAATGCTTAACACACAGTTCAAGTGAGTATCCAGGCAACCCTAATAATCTGAGTACTGCTGATCTATGCTGCTGCTCCTCAGGCACCAGAATTAAGTAGAGAGGAAGTCCCAAGAGGGAAAATGAAGAGGTGTGTCTCTAAGCCATCCAGGTAACAAACTTGTAACAAAAACGATAGCTTGAACAGAGAACATCCACGTGCAAAAATATAAAACCATAATGTCCTTCAGTATTATCGGTACAAAGAGTATCAAGGTTTTACAACTTATCACCTCCCTAACAGAGTCATTGGGGTTAACCCAGTGTTATGAAAAGCTGTTCTTTCAAGAAAGTTAATTTACAGTCAACTGTCAATTAACCACGGTTAAAAGAATACCTGACCTTGAATTGTTGTTGTTTTAAAGTAACTTGCTATGAATCTGGGAAATACTTATATAGCAGAAAGGCATTCACTGCTTGGATGAAGGTAACTAACAGACATGCAATTGCCTACAGCGACATGGGAAGCCTCCCACCACGCAGATGAGCAAGCCTGCGGGGACAGTGCCCACCGGCTCTGCCAGCCCCACTCAGCACGGGACGCACGGCTGGGGGAAAGGCGAAGCAAGAGGAGTTCTAAAGTGGCTGTGGACGTTCAAGGGATGGGAAGTCAGGTAGTGAGGAAGCCCACCAGTGGGGATGCGTCTCACTGAGAGATTGAAAGAAAGAAAAGGCCAGTTATTTAAGAAATAAGAGCTTGATAACCACTGGGCAGTTGTTGGGCCGTTCCTAAACACTTCCACATTCATAACATACATGTATCATTTTCCCCTACTGGCAGTAAAACCCAGTGTGCAAGGGAACCGCTCTAAAGTCAGAATGCTTGAGTTTGAATTCTTGCTCAGTCCTACAAGCTCTGCGGCCTTGGCCAGGTTATATACCTGAAACCATTTTTCTCATCTGTAAAATGGGGCTAAAAAACAGTAAAATAGTACCCACCCTGGTGATTTTTGTGAGAACTAAATGTGATAACATGTGTGCCAAGGCATAGCAAGGTAAGTATTCCATAAATGTTCACCATTAGTGGTTTTATGTCAGAAAATGGCCACTGTATTCTTAAACATTGGATGCAATTTACTATGTAAGGTTTACATTAAGTCCATTTCGTACCTTGTTTTGAGTATTTCTTATTGTTCTGCTCTGGTTTTTATCATTCAGTCTTGATTTGGGGTTATCCATGACTACTTTCTGCCTCATTCTATCCTTGATTAATCAGGAGGAAACGGTATGATCAGTTACGTATCCTGGATCAAAACTGGTTGTAAGCCTGGTGATCAGAATATAACTTAGTTTTGAAGGCATCTTGCCTAGTACTTTTGCAAGACTGCCCTTTAGAAAACAAATGTCAAAAAAAATTAAAGTTTGAGGGACGCCTGGGTGGCTCAGTCAGTTAAGTGTCTGCCTTTGGCTCAGGTCATGATCCCAGGGTCCTGGGATCGAGTCCTGCATGGGGCTCCTTGCTCGGCGGGGAGCCTGCTTCTCCCTCTGCCTGCCACTCCCCCTGCTTGTGCTTTCTTTCTCTCTCTGACAAATAAATAAATAAAATGTTTAAAAAAAAAAAATTAAAGTTTGAAAAAACGAAGACCCTGGAGTATTTTGCATTTTCAGAGTTCTGCCCCGTATGGGAAGCTGGTCTGGTATCGAGAGAACACTACATCCGCAAACAAATAAAACTCACGGTACCGACCTCCTCCTGTGCACCTTTAATTTCCGAACATTCTTCTAGTCTTTTTAAAACATCCTGGGTAACCAAGAGTGCATCAGAGAAGACACTTTCATTCTCTAGAAGAAAATTCAGCTGATGGTGTTTCCTCTCATACTCTGAGTACAAAACAAAATAAAAAAATATATATCAGTGATTCATTATTTGAGATGATTTTTAAAAGTTTAAGCTGACAACCTTTAGGTCGTATGCTGCATTTATAACTGACACCTAGCACATCAGTTGTGGGTAACAGAAAACAGTGTCCCTACCAGCTTCCTCCTCTGTGCCGTCCTCATCCTGGTTAGAATAATGGGTAAGCGACAAAACTGGTATATCGGGGGCGCTTAGGTGACTCAGTAGGTTAAGCATCCAACTCTTGATTTCGGCTCAGGTTGTGATCTCAGGATCATGAGACAAAGGCACCGGACACGGAGCCTGCCTGGGATTCTCTCTCCCCATCTCACTCTGCCCCTCCCCACTCGCTCTCTTTTTCTTTCTCTCTGTCTCAAAACAAAAACACCCTGGTACATTGTTATTTTAGCATTGCTTTTCTGCTCCGTAGCTCATCCTCAGCCTTCCATCACTCAAAAACACAGACACTTTAAAAAAAGAAGAATGCCCCCTTGGGGTGCAGGCTGGCTCAGCTGGGGGAGCATGCGACACGTGATCTCAGGGTTATGGGTTCGAGCTCCATGTTGGGTACAGAGATGACTTAAAAAAAATAAAATCTTAAAAAAAAAGAAGAAGAATGCCCCAGTGGGAGTTTTGCTTTGGATTCTGTGTTGGATTGGACTGGATTTTGGTCTCCTATCTAGCAGTGGTTTTTGGTAAATTTATCATTGAAACAAAAAAAATTCATAAAGATCACTGGATGTAGTAATTGACAATAGAAGGACAGATTATAAAAGAACTATTAAACGAAGATTACCTGTCTCTGTGCTTGCCCCCTTTGCCTCTCTAAAGGCTTGTACAGCAGGAGAGGGGCAACAAACTTCAGATGGACGAGGAGTCTCCACCGGGGTGTCTGTGTTCCCCTGCATCTCCTGGGCACTGGAAGGCCCCATACTCATCTCTCGTGCGTCCTCAGTCTCGGCTTTCACAGGGCCCCCTAGAGGGGCAGAAGCCTCCAGGGAAGGACGAGACTCTGCAGCGCCCTCAGAGGCAAGGATTTCTACTTCAGGCTTCTCCGGTTCCTTCCTGAATGCCTCTGAGGATGGTACGGAGACATCCCTCACCACCTGACCCTGAACAGAGCAGTTCACAAGGCTGGTCAGAAGATTTTTACAACTAACGGCCACATCGAACATCTGGAGGCTGTCGGCCAGAGAGATGATTTTGGAGAAGTTGTGCTTGCCCACGGGTAGTTTGCCAGTGTACATCATTTCTAACAAGAGGGCAAACTCCTCGGGGCTCACGACAGACGCATCGATGGAGATGGTGTCTGTGTTGTCCAGCAGGGTTTTGAACAGGAGGCTGGCCGCAGCCAGGACGAGCTTGTGGGCCCTGAAGTAAATGGCACCGATGGAAATGGTGCAGTCACAGAACTGCTGCTCCTTGCACAGAGTGTAGAGCTGCTGCAGCAGCTGCCGGCTATAGTTGGGGAGCTCCATCGCCTCCGCTCTGCCCCCGACGACTTCTCGCCCTCTCTTCTTCCAGAACCCACTCTGTGAGGATCAGTGCTGTCTCCTAGAGAAACCCCAAAAGTGCTATGTTAATACATCACAAGCACACAGGGAAAGACCTTGAATGAAATATTCAAACAAACAGTCAACTCACACATGCATTCGCCCAATGTTGCTCAACAGGAGGGGCGCTGCGCCAGGGACGCTAGATTAATAATGCTGACGAGAGCAGTCACGGGCGTAATGCTGTGAAAGGGATTATGCTTTGTGCTTCATCTGGACAGTCTCACTGGATCCTCACGATGACTCAATGGGAAAGATACCGTACCTTCCCCATTTTACAGATGAGACTGAAGCTTAGAGGTACTGAGACAACCAGCCTGAGGCAAAGGAGCCGTTAAATGGCGTTTGTGTATCACCCACCTCAGGGCTGTAGGTAATACATTGCTGGATGCGTTCCTGCTTCCAGTGAATTCTCAGCCAACGGAAGGAGGCAACTATATAAACAGATCTGCAACACAATGTCCTCACCTCATTGGACTTATCTGCAACACGCACGCAGGTCGTCACTCCCTCCCGCTTCAAACACATGTTTCGCTTGCTCCTGCTCTCTCTGCTTCTCCCATGACCTCCCGAGCCACGCCTTCCCAGCACCCTTTGCTGGGTCCTCTGCGTCATGTTGGCCTTTACAGTTTGGAATGCTCCAGGACTCAGTCATCTCTCCTTTCGTCTTCTGTCTCATCTGATTCCACACCTTTGAAATGTCAACGAATGCTGACAGCTTGCAGGCTGACATCCTGAGCTCAGGCCTCTCCTCTGGAGTCCAGATGCACACCTCCAGCTACCCGTTCAGCATCTCCGATCAGAGGCCTGATGGGTGGCTTAAACTTACATCCAAAACTCTCCTGCAATCTTCCTACTCCACAGCAATTTTGTCTTTCTAGTTGTTCAGACCAAAACCCAGAAGTCATCCTTGACTCCAGGGTTTTTCTTATACTCCTTATCCAATCCTTTATAAATCCTGTTGGCTCTACCTTCAAAATACACCCCAAATCCAATCACTTCCTGCTGCCTCCACTGGCTCTGGGCTCTTCCTTCAGTCTAAGCCTCCATCACCTTGGATCTGGCCTATTGCAGCAATCTCCTCTAACTGGTCTCCACACCCCTGCCCCTTTCTAGCCCCACCCCTACGCCACCCTACCTCAATCCAGGAGTCATAGGGCTCTTTTTGGCATGCAGCCAGAGCTTGTCCCTTCTTTGCACAGAAGCCTCCCTGGCTTCTGGTCTCAGAGTAAACGCAAAAAGCCAAAGTTCTTCTAATGGCCTACACCCCCCCTCATAAGCTGGCTGGCATTAACTCTCTACGCCACCTTCTACCGCCCTCCCCCTTACCCATTCGGCCCTAAGCACACTGCCTTCCTTACCGATCATGGAACAGTCTGTACATGTTCATCTACAGGTGTCTCCACACGTGTGCAGAGGGTGTGCATGGCTCACTCTCCCTTCCAGCAGGTCTCTGCTCTAAGGCCACATCATTACTAAGGGCTCCCCTGACCATGTCCTTTAAATAGCAGCCTCCTCTCCAACCTTAGAACATTCCATCCCTCTTACTATATTTATCATCACAGCATTATCACCTACTGATATATATTATATTTTACTTATTATCATGTATTTCCCTTCACTGGAATATAAACTCCATTAGGGAAGGAACTTTTTTAAAAATCATCTGCTATACCCCAGTGCTTAAAATTCTGCCTCACGCAAATGTTGGTGACTAGCTGGTGTAATGAATAAATGAATGGAAGGAGATGTAATAGCAGAGATTTGCACCCAGAAACCCAGCTTAGGGAAAAGGCGTGTGGAGCAGTCAGAGTAAGGTCTGGAGGACGAGCTGAGCTGCCGGAATAAATGAGTAGGCCCTGGTGAGGTGAAGGGAGTGAGACAATAGGCGCTCTGGGCAAGGAGCCTGCATGAGGCGTGCAGACAAGAAAACATCTCCAGTGGAGGGAAGGAAGGGGTGCAGGGGGGACTGGAAGGAATTCAGTGATCCTGCAACATAAGCAGGGGACAGGGGGTATCAGGAGCTAAAGCTGGCAGGCAGGGCTTGTGGCCACAGAGAGGTACATGGGCCATGCTTAGGAGCTTGGATTTATCCGAAAGGCAATGAGGAGCCACTGAAGGGTTTGAAAGGCTTTAAGCAGGGAAGTCACATGGTCAAAGATGCATCTTAAATGGATCATCTAAGTGACATCTGCACAGAATTGAGGGGGATAATGCTAGAGACAGGCTCTATTATTGCAGGAGTTCAGAGATAAATCAATGAGGACTTTGACCCACAGAAGGGGCAAGAGAAGAGAGAGAAAGAGACAGCCAAAAATATTTAGAACATGCAACCGTCATGATTTAAAGTCTGAGTGGATGTGAGGGAAGAGCGAGACCGCTCCCAGGTCCTGGTCTGGTTGAGTGGGAGTGGGTGCTGAGATGATTCAGATAACACAAGAAAACAGTCTTGGGAAGAAGACATGTGGTTCAGTTTTGGGTTTGAGGGTCTTATGATGATAGCCAAATCCTATAATCTCACTTGTATAAAGAAAAGAAAATACACTGACAAAAGGGTGGAAAGCCAAACGTCAAAATAACACCGGCCGCCTTCTTTGTTAGCAAGATTGTGGGTGATCCCCTTTCCCTTCCACCACTATTTCATTTTCCCACATTTGAAGCTGAAAGATCAAAATAAAAATAGGGGTGCCTGGGCAGCTCAGTTGGTTCAGCGTCCAACTCTTGATTTTGGCTTGGGTCATGATCTCAGGGTCATAGGATGGAGCCGATGTCTGGCTCCGTGCTCAGCACTGAATCTGCTTGTCCCTCTCCCTCTGCTCCTTCCCCCACTAATGCTTGTGTGCTCTCTTTCTCTCTTTCAAATAAATAAATAAAATCTTTTAAAAAAAATAAAAATAAAACTATTTCCAAGTTCTGGTTTCTGGTCTGGCCCGTAAGAAGCTTAGGAAGTCACCATTCCATCCTGACAACAGTAAAAAGCTAAACAAATGGAAAGATCAACAACTCTTTTTAGATCTGTCAGAGAACTGAGGTCACAGGGCAAAACTGCTCTCCCCCAAACTGGAGAAAAAGGCAGATAGAGAGAATCATAACTTCTCAGAGCAGAAACCCACCAACAGATACATCCATGGGAACTGGTACCAGAAAAGGAAAACAAAAACTGAAGTTGACAAATTGCTGGAGGCTCAGGGTGGACAAGTCTGAGTTAAAAACTCCAGAGGGACCAAGTCATAATTTTGTGAGTTTTACCTCTAGGAGCTCTAAGGGGTGAATACAGGCGAAAAATTCCCTCCTGCTTCTGGAAGGAGGAGGGGAGAACTAACCATTTTGAAATATGCCAGAGCACTCTGTTCTTAACAAGGCCTAGCTTCAGGAGAAACTATTTTACCAGATTCCAACCTAACTGGGGGAAGAGAAATACCCTTCAGCCCACTTCTAGCCATCCTGCACTAGGGGTGGGAGGGGATGAACTGAAAAACTTCAGTGAAGTTCATAGTCCTGTGGCACAGGCTCACCAAGAGACTGAGACCTAATCATTGGTCTATAAAACACTTCCTCCCCTACATCTTACCATCCCATCACTATACGCTTATTTACCACAATTCCTTTTACCCAGTACTTTATGTCTACCTTTCAAGAAAAAAATATGAGACATACTAAAAGGCAAAAACACAGTCTGAAGAGACTGAACAAGTATCAGAACCACAGTCAGATATGTCAGGAATTATCAGACCAGGAATTTTTAAAAACTGTAATGCTAAGGGCATTAATGGAAAAAAGCAGACAACATGCAAGAACAGATGAACAATGGAAGAGAGATGGAAATGAAAAAAATGAAAAAAATGCTGTAAGTCAAAAACATAAATTAAGAATGCCTTTGATGTGCTCATTAGTAGACTGAGAAAAGCTGAGGAAAGGATCTCTGAATTTGAGGATATAATCAGAACAGAATATCCAAGAACTGTGGGACAACTACAAAAGGTAAAACATCTGTGCAAATGGGGATATCTGATGGAGATGAAAGAGAAAGGAACAGAAGCAATATTTGAAGCAATAATGACTGAGCATTTCCCCAAATTGTTAGACACCAAACCGCAGGTCTCGGATGCTCAGAGAACACCAAGCACAATAAATGCCAAAATCTTACACTTAGGTGTATCATATTCAAACTACAAAAAAAATGAAAGCTTAAAAAAAAAAAAAATCTCAGAAAAAGTCAGAGGAAAAAAAAAACCCACTTTACCTACACAGGAGCAAAGATAAGAATCACGTCTGATTTCTCCTCAGAAACCATGCAAGTAGGAAGAGAGTAGAATAAAATAATTGAAGTGTTGAGAAGGAAAAAAAAGAAAAAAAAGCCCAACCAACCTAGAATTCTGTACCTTGCAAAATTATCCTTCAAAAGTGAAAGGGAAGACTTTCTCAGACAAGCAAAACTGAGTGACTTGGTTGCCATTAGACCTGCCTTGCAAGAAACATTAAAGAAGTTTTTTGGAGAGAAGGAAAATCATAAAGTATAGAAATTTGAATCTGCATTAAAAAATGAAAAGCACTGGAGAATGACTAGGTAAAGGTAAAATAAAAATTTATTTTTTAATTCTTAATTGATATAACATGTAACTGTTCAAAATAACAGCAACAATTTATTTGATTATGCTTGCTTATGTTTAGATATACTTATGTATACATAAGTGAAATGAATAACAGCAATGATACAAGGAATGGGAGGAAGAATTAGGATTATTTTATTAGTATAAGGTATTTGTACTACTGGTGAAGTAGTACAGTGTCATTTGAAAGTGGACTTGGATTAGTTATAAATGTATACTGCAAACTACAAGGCAACCACTAAAAAAGTCTGAAAAGAAATACAAATGATATGTTAAGAAAGAAGTGAAAATGGAATCATGTCAAAGGCTCAACTA